ACACAAACATCTGCAACACAGACTGTAAAAACCTGTCTGCTCCTCTACAGAACCAAACATGCTCTGTTCAGAGCTGCAATGTTACTAAACATTACTGTATGTTTCTGTTTCTAAACGTTTCTGAACATTTCTGTACGTTTCTGAATGTTTCTGTTTCTCAATGTTTCTGTTTCCAAAACATTTCTGTTTCTAAACATTTGTTTCTAAACATTTCTGTTTCTGAATGTTTCTGTTTCTAAACATTTCTGTTACTAAATGTTTCTGAACATTTCTGTTTCTAAACGTTTCTGAACATGTCTGTACGTTTCTGAACGTTTCTGTTTCTGAACGTTTCTATTTCTAAATATTTCTGTTTCTAAACGTTTCTCAATGTTTCTGTTTCCAAACGTTTCTCTTTCCGTACATTTCTGTTTCTGAATGTGTCTGTTTCCAAACATTTCTGTTTCTAAATGTTTCTGTTTCCGAACATTTCTGTTTGTAAACATTTCTGTTTCTAAATGTTTCTGTTTCTGAACATTTCTGTTTCCTAATGTTTCTGAAAGTTTCTGTTTCTGAAAGTTTCTGTTTCTGAATGTTTCTGTTTTTGAATGTGTTTGTTTCTAAACATTTGTTTCTAAACGTTTCTCAATGTTTCTGTTTCCAAATGTTTCTCTTTCCGTACATTTCTGTTTCTGAACGTTTCTGTTTGTAAACATTTCTGTTTCTAAACGTTTCTGTTTCTAAACGTTTCTGTTTCTGAATGTTTCTGTTTCTAAATGTTTCTGTTTCCGAATGTTTCTGTTTCTGAACGTTTCTGTTTCCGAACGTTTCTGTTTCAGAACGTTTCTGTTTCTAAATGTTTCTGAATGTTTCTGTTTCTGAACGTTTCTGTTTCTCAATGTTTCTATTTCTGAATGTTTCTGTTTCCGAACGTTTCTCAATGTTTCTGTTTCTGAACGTTTCTGTTTCCGAACGTTTCTGTTTCAGAACGTTTCTGTTTCTAAATGTTTCTGAATGTTTCTGTTTCTGAACGTTTCTGTTTCTCAATGTTTCTATTTCTGAATGTTTCTGTTTCCGAACGTTTCTCAATGTTTCTGTTTCTGAATGTTTCTGTTTCTGAACGTTTCTGTTTCTAAATGTTTCTATTTCTGAATGTTTCTGTTTCTGAACGTTTCTCAATGTTTCTGTTTCTGAATGTTTCTGTTTCTAAACGTTTTTGTTTCTGAACATTTCTGTTTCTAAACGTTTCTGTTTCCGAACGTTTCTGTTTCTGAACGTTACTGTTTCTGAACGTTACTGTTTCTAAATGTTTCTGTTTCTAAATGTTTCTGTTTCTAAACGTTTCTTTTTCTGAACGTTACTGTTTCAAAATGTTTCTGTTTCTAAATGTTTCTGTTTCTAAACGTTTCTGTTTCCGAACGTTCCTGTTTCTAAACGTTTCTGAAAATTTCTGTACGTTTCTGAATGTTTCTGTTTCTGAATGTTTCTGTTTCTGAACGTTTCTGTTTGTAAACATTTCTGTTTCTAAACGTTTCTGTTTCTAAACGTTTCTGTTTCTGAATGTTTCTGAATGTTTCTGTTTCTGAATGTTTCTGTTTCTAAATGTTTCTGTTTCCGAATGTTTCTGTTTCTGAACGTTTCTGTTTCCGAACGTTTCTGTTTCTGAACGTTACTGTTTCTGAACGTTACTGTTTCTAAATGTTTCTGTTTCTAAATGTTTCTGTTTCTAAACGTTTCTTTTTCTGAACGTTACTGTTTCAAAATGTTTCTGTTTCTAAATGTTTCTGTTTCTAAACGTTTCTGTTTCCGAACGTTCCTGTTTCTAAACGTTTCTGAAAATTTCTGTACGTTTCTGAATGTTTCTGTTTCTGAATGTTTCTGTTTCTAAATGTTTCTGTTTCTAAAAGAAAAGTTTCTTTCTAAATGTTTGTAAATGTTTCTGAACATTTCTGTTTCTGAATGTTTCCTAAAGACAACAGACATGACACCACCACACGTTGCCATACAGCAGAAACATTAAATCGGATTTTTGTTTTTGATTTTAATGAATATTTGTTTCCTCAGATTTCAGTCTTTATCTTGTTAAACTGGATTTTCTATTTCTGTTTCTTCAAAGCCAACCTCTCTGACTCCAAACAGCTGTCCTGACCTTTGACTATTGACCTCTGACCCCCCATCTCCCACCTCCACACTGCCTCTATAGAGAATGAATAGATAGAGATAGAGAGAGAGAGAGCAGGAGGTAAGCTCATTTTACCAAGAAAATACTGCAGCAAAATGTTTTTATATCTGACTTCAATGGAGACAACTGAGTGTGTGTGTGTGTGTGTGTGTGTGTGTGTGGGCGTGTGCGTGTGTGTGTGTGTCATGACATCATCAGTGAGGTGTCAGGGGTTGATTGATTTAGCAACACTTAACATGAACACACACACAAACACACACACTACATGTCAAAGCTAATCTATGCTAATCTAATGAGCGACAGGACAATGCTGTTAGTGATAATGGATGTCAGATTGTGTGTGTGTGTGTGTGTGTGTGTGTGTGTGTGTGTGTGTGTGTTTTATGTGTAGGTGTATCTTCTCTCCTTGTAACGCTCATTTGATCAGACAGGTTTATTACAGCCAGCTAATTCTATTAACCCTGCTCCACTGCACGTGCACACACACACAGACACACACACACACAGACACACACACACACAGACACACACACACACACACACACAGCAGTAAATCTGTCAGCCTCCTTCAGGACTATAAAACTGACCCGTTTTCTGTGTGAACTGTCCACACAGTTTTGTCCAGGCCTAAGACAGAAATCAGCTGAGTGTCAGACCAGGATCAACAACAAGATCAACAAGAACCAGGGTCCAGACTCCATGACCCAGACCCGTCTGGACCAATGGATCCTGATGTTCTGGGTCAGCAGCAGGGTGACGTTCAGGAGCGCCACACCTCTGAACAGTATATGACACCATCAGACTCAGTCAGAGTTCATTTTAATGAAGCTCCATCATGACGTCCTCCACCAGGAACTGATTACTGTAACCATGGCAACTGTACAAAAACTGGCTGCAAGATGCTACGAGACATGAACTGAACTAACAGGTGACTGACAGGTGAATCAGACTCGTCTCTGACTGTAACTGTGGGTAAAGACAAACACTGCACCAGTTTACTATGTGTATAAAGCAGCTGTTACACACACTTACACACACACACATACACACACACACACACACACACACACACACACACACACACAGTGACCTGAGGAGGAGTGTGTGAGCACTTCTCCTTGAGGAGGCGTCGTTCAGATTCCCTTGTTTTTAAATAAATAAACTCCAAGGGGGTTCCTTGGGGTTAAGTGGGTGGAAATGCAGGATGTGACAGTGGTTAAATGAGCTACATGTAAGTTTTCTATTGCTACATAGCTAACGTTAGCATTAGCAGCTGTTTACTCACCAACAATATTATTAGCTCTCGTTAGCTTCTATGACTTCCTGTCTTCTACTGATGTTAGCATGTTAACCAGCTAGCTCCAGCCTGTCTAATTTCATAATACTACTTTGCAATAGTGAGTCACTGTAGTGTCCAGTCTAAAGGTCAAAGGCCAGGGGAAGGGTTAGGATGGTAAATGGAGGGGTCATGGGTAATGTCAGGGGTCAAAGGTCAATTGTAAAGGTTTGGTTTAAGACTTGTGGTGGAGGTCTGGGTCTCAGAGGGTGAGGGAGTCCAGTTATCACAGGTAGACCTAAAGTTATCAGGGTCATTGACCTTTTGGGTCAAAGAAAATAGGTTATAGGTTAATGCCTAGCAACAGGTATGATCGCTTACAGGTGGAGGATTTGCTTCTGAGGGAAGGAACTTATCAGGCTACCAGGCCAAAGGTCAAAGAGATTCAGGGTCTGGAATCAAAGGTTCAAGGTCTGGAATCAAAGGTTCAGGGTCTGGGATCAAAGGTTCAGGGTCTGGGATCAAAGGTTCAGGGTCTGGGGTCAGGTTCAGGGTGTGGGATCAAAGGTTCAGGTAAACAGGGGTACAGACAGGACACATTCAGCGCTCAGGTGATTTAGGTGTTTGATGTTTGGATGAAGGTAATGGTCAGAGGTCACACAGGTGAGGGGTCAGAGGTCACACAGGTTACTTACAGGTAGTAAGTGTAGGAGTGAGAGTTTCTTCGTCTGGGGGGGTGAAATGGAGGGAAAGAAAAATAGAAAAACAGAAAAAGGAAAAAACAACAGATTAATACACAGAAGAGATGAGTTCATTCTGTGTGGAGGTGGAGGAGTGGAGGGCTGTGATTGGCTGGTACAAGGTGTCAATCATAGTGTGAGGGAGAGGGGACACATCTGATTGGTTAACGAGGTGAGAGACATCTGTATATTCTCATCCATCCACATGTAACACACACACACGTGCACACACACACACACACGCGCACACACACACACACACACACACACACACACACACACACACACACACACACACACACACACACACACACACCAGGACATTAGTTAGAATAAAAACTGGAGGAACAGAAAAATTCTGAGGTCAGGGGTCATGACCTCTGACCCTTCTGTCATCAGGTCAGTACTGGTCACACAGGTGAGTGTTTTTTCTGACACTGCTGGAGCTGCAGGTCCTCGTATGTACAGGTATCAGCAGGTCTGTGGGAGGAGTTCAGGTGAGGCTGGTGACATCACAGTCAGGTACAGGTGAGGTGTAATCAGCTGAGCTGAACTCTGCAGTCCAGAGAGAAACGTCATGGTCTCTGATGTCCCTCAGAATTGAACCCTCAGACCGGGACATCACTTCCTGATGATGTCATCATCTCTAATGTCCCTCCAGAATAAAGCTCCAGAAAAATGGAGTCTGTAGAACTTCACTGAGAATCCTCCAGTTTTTAAGTTTCCTTCAGTATCACAGTAAAACATCATGATACACTGCAGACAGGAAGTGATCACAGCTGATCACAGCTGATCACAGCCTTCACAGTGACATGGCGTCCTG